CCCGACAGGTGTGGATGTTTTATACGGCCGCGGTAATCTCCCCTTGCTGGAATACGAAACCGATTTCTTCGTAGCTTCATATCAACCGGCGTATTCGAACCCGCCCCTTGTCTGCCATGATGCTGGGTCAAACGTGGGACGATCCTTTTCATTGTATCGATACCGCGTATATCAATTGCACTGCATGCCAGCAGATACATATTATCAATACCAATCAATACTATGGATAAATGGCATCAAAGAGGCGTAGATAATTATTAAAATATCTACTCCAATTCGATTAATTAAGCCAAATAACGGCTTTTAGTAATCACAGGATCGATACCAAATGGACACTAGTAACAAGAATCGTCCTTTCCTTGTTGAATATCATTACCTATACCATCTTAACATGCAGCACCAAAAACAAGGCCCATCACTATCACAGTATCGATACCAAGTCGTTAAATTTTATCAAGTATCCTCATATCGATACTACCCTAAAGCAGGAAGAGAAAAAAACTTGTTAAATTAATTTGACTGCTGAAAACGAGGCGCCATCATTAGAGTGACAGTGGTGTATTGTGTGGTGTAACTCTAGATGGTCAGGCGTGACGATGGTCACTTGGTTTGTGGTAGTTGCGGTCAACAACGAGTTCATTTGTTTGTATTTTGCACGGGTTTGCGAGTTTTTTGGACAATCAAGAAATGGTCGAGTGGTATATTGATGATTCCGTCAGATCAAGAAATGTATCGTATGATGTTTGGGGCATTTAGTCAGATCAAGAAATGTATCTAATGATATATGGAAGATTCAAACAGATCAAGAAATGCATCCAATGATATATCGTACATTCCGTCAGATCAAGAATTGTATCTAATGATATATGGACGATTCCGTCGGATCAAGAAAAGTATCAAGAAATCTACAGGACATTACATAAAACAAGTTAATAAAAAGTTTAGTGACAATTTAAGCGCAATTTCCTTAATTAATTTTTTGTGACCGAACGAAAGGATATTTTTGAAAACTTTCTTCGGCAATATTGTTCTAAATTATGTCAGGAATCGATTGGTAAATGTTTCAAGTCGCTAAGTGTTCTGGTTGCCGAGATATGGGCCAAAAACTGCATTTTTTTCGAGGTTTTTTGGCGTTTCCGGGAAATCCATGAAGGAATTCCGGGAATTTTGTTTGGCCCACAATCATCCTCGGAACTTGCTTAACATATTTGCTTTGGAACTAGTCCTCGATATTGCTTCGTTGAGGAGGAGTTACGACTTAAAGCTGCGGACACACATCCATCCATCCATCCATCCATCCATCCATCCATCCATCCAGAAATAACGAATTAATAATCGCAACTGCCAGTATGGAAATTGCGCTAAAAAGTGTTAATGTGGTTCCATCTGTTTACCTAATACAACCTCCAAAAAATGTAAGGCTTATCATGGGATAGTGCGGTTAGCACTTTGCTCCCCAACAAAAGTCATGTACTTATCAAGGCAGGTTGGAGTAAGAGAATTGTATGGACTCGGGATTCGAAATCGAGACTTTCGGGTTAGCTATCGTGCACGCTGGGAACGGAGTGGTCTAGCGGTAGATAGCTGGACTGTCTCAAGTTCGAATCCAGGTTCAAGTCAGTAGACCGTCCCTGCGTCCACCCAACTCTGATGGGTACCTAACTCACTATCTCTTCATACGCTGAGGTCACAGAAACAAGTGAACTCTACTTCACTTGCCCTATTGACCGTTAGGATTGAAAAGGGAACTTTTTTTTTTACTTTTATCGTACACGCTATCGTCCGACCACCCCTTCCATGGCGTCATTGATAACTCTTTTGTTCCTGTTACTAAAACAGAACCCTATCGTTAACAATACTATAAGGCTGTCTGATAAAGATTTTATCTTAAACTGTCCTAAATCTTGAAGAATCACATATGTTATTGCATTCAGCCTCGTCAAAATTTAACACTAAACATAACCCTAACATGAAAACGAACTTTAACTTAAACCATCAACCTAACCCAAACATTGACTTCCGTTGTCTAATCCTACTGGGAAGATTCCAAATTTTCTACAAGACAACTTATGCTTTACTTACAGTAATGTGTACTCTACTATAGTTTTAAGTACTTTAGTACTTTGCTTTCAAGTACTGGGGTTCTACAGTACTATCATCATCATTTCCCGATCTTTCCGGAGACACATGAGACAGATGAAGTAGAGTTCATCTGTTTCAAAGACCTCGGCATATGAAAGTGTTGTGTTCTCAGCACTTTACCCAGCCGCCTTTGCTTTGCCTAACGCGAGTTAGGACGTGACCTGGAAGAAGACACCAAGAAGATTGGATACACCTGGGGACAGTAGGAGAGACTAGCCCAGGACAGAGACGCATGGAAAGCTCTTGTCAACGGTCTATGTCCCAGGAGGGACCACAGGCAAATTTAACTTAACCTAGTTAAGTTCCCATCAGAGCTGGGTGAACTCAGGAACTATTGTAACCTTTATTTTTTTAGTTCTTGGGTCTGTAAGTAATTTGGTCTTTAGTGATGTAGGGAAGGGCGGGGTTCATAGGTAGCGCGCACAAGTACCAACCTGAAATCTCGAGTTCGGATCCCGAGCTCCTCTCTGTTCAAAGTCTATGCGTCCATGCAGTCCTGACTTGGAAAAAGTAAAAGTGGTTGTTCATAGTTCTCAAAACACTATCACATCGTATGTCGAAGTCATTGAAACAGAGGAACTCTACTTCTTCTACCCCATGGATCTTCTTACTGTGGTCTCTGACACTCCGTTATAGTACTTAGTACTTCCGCACTTTGTGCTTTGCTCATTGCCCTTTTGTACATTAACCCTTTATTTGCTTGACAATAAGTCTCTATTGTTTTGGTCTAACTTACATTCTTCAGTAATTTGGTCTATTGCACTTTCAGAGTTTCTTCCAGGCATCTTTTCGAAATGAAATTTATGTAGAAAATATATACTTTTAATAGTGTCCGCAACCCCCCCCCCCCCCCAAATCCCCCCACCCCCCGGAGAAAAAAAAGTCTGAAAGAAACACTGGGTACTTTTCCCTCTTCTGTCTCAAGTACTTTGTCTTCAGTACAATCCAAAAATTTCTACAGTTCGTGTATCGATTTCCTCGTATTCTCTATCCCATAATTCGCCTCTGTAGCGGAATCGATTCCCCGGTATCAATAACTGCGCGATCCTTATCCCGATAAGCCCACGAACAGATTTGCTACAAGCTTAGGGCGGAGAGCGAGTCGGGGATGGCCAGATAAAACGTAACACGAATCGGCAGGGAGGTCAGATAAGACCTGTGTCAGATCTTCTCGCTGGCTCTCGGCTGGGCCCCGAGATCTCGTGTCGCAGAGACCGGATGTTTTACTGCGTCGTAAATTCTGCGCGCAGACGACGATAAAAAGAGAAAAGAGAAAAAAGCGCGGGAAGATAACGGAAGTGACGTCGGGTAGGCGGTAACAAGGATGGATTCGCGGAGGAAGTTTTCGCGGACGTGTTCTAAATATAGGTGACTAACAAGACGGATATATTATAGGGTACATTTTCATACAGTTTTGTTATCGCAGGGGGTAAGGGAAACTACTCTGATAGGAACAAGGGGAAAACACTGGATGTGCCTATTTTATGGAGTGAGTTTCTAGGCTTGGGGGTTGGGCAGTGGCGTTGGCAGGGGGGGGGGGGGGGGGGTTAGGGGTGGTACCACCCCCCCCATAGACCCCTCTCTCTATATATATATATATATATGAACCCCATTCCCTTGAGACGATCCTGGCTACGCCACTGAGGGTTGGGGTGGGGGGGGGGGGCTTCGATTAGTTGGGTAATACCATGAAGACCAAAATTTAAAAAAAAAATTGGATAGTGTTTATTACAGATGGAGTAGAGTTCACGTCATACGGTATAATAAATATTAGGTCGCCATGGAATTCAACTTCAAATCAATCTTATGACAAGAGTCGGGTACTCACTATAGCTGGGTATGCTCAGTGACATCTTACTGACCCGAAACCGGAGTTGCAATCGATCAGGTTCCGTATGATAAGCAATTAACAGTCTCCATAAAATATAGTGTGAGTTTTGTTTTATAAAAATACACACGTATATAAGTAATTCACCTTCGAAGGCAATGACATATTAAAAAAACACACACACTAATCTAAGTTTCTGCTTAAGATCTACATTGAAATACAAAAATAATAATTAAATTGTAGTAAGTTTTAATTGCACGCGATGTTCCTAGCATTTTTTTTCGTCCGTGTTAATTCCTATAAATTAAGTAAAATGGAAATATTTGTCGCCCAAAACGATGATATTAGACAACAGCTACATTCTGAATACAGAAAAATTCACTCACCGAGAAATACAATGTAAATTTATGCTTTTATCCAGGACATCACAAAGTCGGGGTTTTGTATATTGGCTATAAGTTTTAAAAGCATTATAAATTTAGAAATTAGGAAATGTAGCATTTTATGATGATTTACTTAGTCAACACGCATTAAAATAGAAATTAATTTATCGTTGTTTATAAGGGCAAAGCTTAATGTACAAACTTTGAGTGGGTAGTTTATTTATTTGGCTCACCATAATTTTGTGTGACATGCTTCCGATAAATATTTTGATTTGTTATTTTAATACACACTAAATTACACATGAAAAGTTCAATAGGGATAATGCGCGATGACCATTCATATCTTACTTTATGTTTACTTTTGTAAACTATACGGCGAAGACTTAAAAAATCAAATGGTTTTAGCTTTTGTTATTATTGCTTTGTTATTTAAATTAGTATACATTCAACGCGTAGAGAAAAAGACAAACATTCTGTTAGGATAATTTGACGGCAGTTTTCACACAGTAGTTTTCATACAACAATCCACACAAGAAGCAAACAAAACACCCAACAAAATATCCAAGAACATCTCTAAAAACTGTACAAGAATCCACACCATGCGCATATAGACTACAGACTAACTTGAAACAGACTTCTTGCCACAGACTAACTGCCACAGGCCTGTCACAGACCTTTTGTCCCAGGCTACCTTCTACAGGCTACAGGCCACCTACCGTAGGCTACCGGCCAAAAACCTCCCAAAGACCTTTTACCAAAAGCTTCCTGTCAAAGACCTACTATTGGGCTCCTGCCACAGGTTACCTGCCACAAGGTTCCTGCCACAGGCTACCTGCCACAGGCTACGTGCCACAGGCTACCTGCCACAGACTACCTGCCACAGGCTACCTGTCACAGGGCTCCTGCCACAGACTACCTGCCACAGGCTACCTGCCACAGGCTACCGGATAGAGATCTGCCACAGGCTACCTGCCACAGACCTCCTGCCACAGGCTACCTGACACAGGCTACCTGTCACAGGCTACCGGATAGAGATCTGCCACAGGCTACCTGACACAGGCTACCTATCACAGGCTACCTGACACAGGCTACCTGCCACAGACCTCCTGCCACAGACCTCCTGCCACAGACCTCCTGCCACAGGCTACCTGCCACAGATCTCCTGTCATAGGCTACCTGCCACAGACCTCCTGCCACAGACCTCCTGCCACAGGCTCCTGCCACTATCACCTGCCACAGAACTCCTGCCACAGATCTCCTGCCACAGACCTCCTGCCACAGACCTCCTGTCACAGACCTCCTGCCACAGACCTCCTGCCACAGGCTACCTGCCACAGATCTCCTGCCACAGACCTCCTGCCACAGACCTCCTGTCACAGACCTCCTGCCACAGACCTCCTGCCACAGGCTACCTGCCACAGATCTCCTGTCACAGGCTACCTGCCACTAACCTCCTGCCACAGGCTACCTGCCACAGATCTTCTGCCACAGGCTACGTGCCACAGGCTACCTGCCACATACCTCCTGGCACAGGCTACCTGCCACAGGCTACCTGCCACAGGCTACCTGCCACAGGCTACCTGCCACAGGCTACCTGCCACAGGCTACCTGCCACAGGCTACCTGCCACAGACCTCCTGCCACAGGCTACCTGTCACAGGCTACCTGCCACAGACTACCTGCCACAGGCTACCTGCCACAAACCTCCTGCCACAGGCTACCTGCCACAGACCTCCTGCCACAGGCTACCTGTCACAGGCTACCTGCCACAGGCTACCTGCCACAGGCTACCTGCCACAGGCTACCTGCCACATACCTCCTGCCACAGGCTACCTGCCACAGGCTACCTGCCACGGGCTACCTGCCACAGACCTCCTGCCACAGGCTACCTGCCACAGACCTCCTGCCACAGGCTCCTGCCACAGACCTCCTGCCACAGGCTACCTGTCAGTGGCAGCTTACAACAAACCATCTGCCATAAGCCAATATATTGTTGATGTATGGGGTGGGGGTGGTTTGTGTATTTGTTAGTAGCGAGATACGTGCGTGGCGGAGATAGGAGGGTGGCGAAAAGGTTATCTCCAGCAGGCGATTAGGGGCGACATGACCTGGTAGTGTACTCCCATGGTGGACAACATGGGGGTGGTGGGGTGGGGGCGGGGGGTTACATAGTGAAGATATGAAACTTGCATAGTAAGAAAAAATAATGTTGGATTTGTTGTATATGTGGGTGTGAATGTTGTTGTGGACAACATGGGGGGGGGGGGGGGGGTTCATATGTGGGTAGTGAAGGTATGAAACTTGTATAGTAAGAAAAAAATAATTTTGGATTTTGTTGTATATGTCGGTGGGAATGATGTGGTCGAGTGATAGAGTACATGAACACTAACCTTTAAGCTGGGCAACTGTAGGGCATTGCTTTAATGTCTAGAGACGTGAAAAGAGGAGAAAGATGGACAAAAAGGTGAACCACACAATTACAGGGTAAGCAGTTGCTACCGTAACTCTACTTCATTACATGACCGAGTATTTAAATAACATTACGGCCACCAACCTTCCCTCTATGGGGAAAAAGCTAATGTTCAACGTGTATTTTGTGTGTGTAGCGTTGTAAAATATGTATACAAGGAAATAATTATGTGTTTTTCAAAATGACTGCGCGGCATTTCATTACATCTGCGCAGTTCATATGGAAAATAGATGAAACTTTAACATCATCATCAATATCATCATCTTTTTACTTTTGTGCCCAAGACACACGGACTCGCCACAGAAACCCCTTTCCACTTTTGCCTGTCTTTGGCCCTTTGTTGTTTTGTTTTTACAAGCTTTTATTTAACTCACTTCCTCGTCAGTCTGTCTAGACGGAAACGCAGGAGTGAAAATTCGGACAGTTCTACTTGACCGATACGATTCACAGTTGGCACGTGGGTCAAGACATGAAGACAATGCAATCTGAAACTAAATTTGACTTAATTGGATGCCTAATTAATTTTTTATGAATTAATAAAAATTTGGACCGAATTAGTAGGCATGTCTAGCCAACCACACCACACGCGTCATCACCTTCAGTAGCTGCGCCATCACGACCACGTAATGGCTGCGTTCAAAAACCATTGCGCGCCTACTGAACGTGATGTTCAGTAGGCGCGCAATGGTTTTTAGTCATGTAACTCTATTGTAAATAAAACATGTAAAGTACTGAAAAAAAATTCATAAAAAACGTTTTAATAACAAGCTTTTATGTAATGATGCACTAAAAAGTAGAAAATAAATTATAGACTACTATTTAAATAACTATAAAGAAAAGCGTGGGTGTCTTCCTTAACATTAGTAAAGGTATCCAATAGATACTAAAGTGACCCACGCTTTTCTTTATAGTTATTTAAATAGTAGTCTATAATTTATTTTCTACTTTTTAGTGCATCATTACATAAAAGCTTGTTATTAAAACGTTTTTTATGAATTTTTTTTACAAGCTTTTATTTAACTCACTCCCTCGTCAGTCTGTCTAGACGGAAACGCAGGAGTGAAAATTCGGACAGTTCTACTTGACAGATACGATTCACAGTTGGCACGTGGGTCAAGACATGAAGACAATGCAATCTGAAACTAAATTTGACTTAATTGGATGCCTAATTAATTTTTTATGAATTAATAAAAATTTGGACCGAATTAGTAGGCATGTCTAGCCAACCACACCACACGCGTCATCACCTTCAATAGCTGCGCCATCACGTAATGGCTGCGTTCAAAAACCATTGCGCGCCTACTGAACGTGATGTTCAGTAGGCGCGCAATGGTTTTTAGTCATGTAACTCTATTGTAAATAAAACATGTAAAGTACTGAAAAAAAAATTCATAAAAAACGTTTTAATAACAAGCTTTTATGTAATGATGCACTAAAAAGTAGAAAATAAATTATAGACTACTATTTAAATAACTATAAAGAAAAGCGTGGGTGTCTTCCTTAACATTAGTAAAGGTATCCAATAGATACTAAAGTGACCCACGCTTTTCTTTGTAGTTATTTAAATAGTAGTCTATAATTTATTTTCTACTTTTTAGTGCATCATTACATAAAAGCTTGTTATTAAAACGTTTTTTATGAATTATTTTTTTTGACAATCTCCAAGATAGTCCGGCCTTTGTCAGTTGCGTTTCTGCTGTGTGCCTTCACTTCTCCCTTGGTTTTTCTCTTTTCTATACTAACATAATGATTAAATGACTTACTGACCAGATGACTTAGTGATTAAATGACTTACTGACCAGATGACTTAGTGATTAAATGACTTACTGACCAGATGACTTAGTGATTAAATGACTTACTGACCAGATGACTTAGTGATTAAATGACTTACTGACCAGACGACTTAGTGATTAGATGACTTAACGACCAGATGACCTTACAACTAACAGACTTAATGACCAAATGACCTACTGAATAAATGGTTTAATGACCAGATTACTTAATGATCAAATGACTTAGTGACCATACCACCTAATTATTATATAACTTAATGACCAGATGACCTAAAGATCAAATGACTAAATGAGCAGATGACCTAATGATTAAATGATAAAATGACCTTACGACCAGATGACCTAAAGATTAAATGACTAAATGAGCAGATGACCTATTCAATAAATAAGTTAATGACTTAATGTTCATATAATTATTATATGACTTAATGATCAGATAACTTCATCATTAATTGATGTAATGACAAAATGACCTAATGATTATATGATTTATGACCCGATATATAATGATAATTTGGCTTAATGGTAAGATTACCTCATGATTAAATGAACTAATGATTAAATAACCTAATGATTTAATGACCGTGATTTTAAAATACAAAACAGGGAGAAGGCCTTGAGACCGGAAAACCGGTTCGCCGTTGGTGCCGGATTCGATCCACCCGTAGATGACCGTGCCGGATCGCGCATGACAGAGGCGAGACTTCCTGCACCATAGGCCATCCGACACGAGCTTTCCCTGGGTGTTAGGTCCGACAGGGATAATACCCGGCGGGGGGGATGGGGTGGGGGGGGGGAGGAATGTCCGATTTATCGCGAAAAAATATTTTAAATTGTGATTATCGCGGAGATGGGGCCGTGGGGGGGGGGGGGGGGGGGGTAATTCTAGCATGAGGATCTACTCGGAATATTAAATGACATAGGGTAGATGAAGTAGAGTTTTTCTGTTTAGGATGGTTTTGTGTGGTTAGTACTATATCCAGTTGTCGCTCAAAACATAAATGGGGAGCGGAACGCGAGACTTTCTATAAATAGAGCTAGTAAGTAGGTCACCTACTTCTCGTGCTCGTACTTGCCAGCTAGTATATTTCAAACCAAATATCAATATAGTTTATTAAATTGGTTAAAAAAATATTAGAAAAGTTACTTCCGCTAACGTTAAGTTATTTTAATCGTAAACAATCGACTACAAGATGCAGGCTAGATTAAAGGAAAATATAGCTCAGATTTTAAGTTGTGATTTTTTTTTTAAATAAGCATAGTTTGTTACTATTTATTCGAATCTACAATAAGTTATCCTAAACGAAGTTACAGTGTTTCTTCCAGACTTTTTTCTCCGGGGGGGGGGGGGGCACTTGAAATTTTCGGGGAGAGCGGTAGACTTTCTTCGGGGGGGGGGGACACTGTTAAAAGCATATATTTTCTATATAAATTATATAAATTTCATTTCGTTCGGGGGGTGGGGCGGTAGAAGAAACTCTGCGTAGTTACAATATCAATATAATATTAATACCCAAGGGTTACCGGTACTTAATTTAATTCTATTATTAGTAAAAAAAAAATTATAACCGTTGTATTTTGAGAACTCCTGGTATTTTAAAATCTTGAAGCGAGAACTACAAACAAATATTCCCAATGTTGTTTGTTATCAATGGGAATCAACTTCAAATAATAAAATTAGTTCGAAAATGTATATCTCTCCCTGACTAACGAGATTTCGAATTATAAGCGACAGAGACCGAGACTTAAAAGCCATCACAGTACGTTGATGTTTATGTTGTGAATGTTATCAGAAAATAGGCAATCTTATCAGTAGGGGCTGTAGCTCAAGTGGTAGAGCGCTCGCTTAGCATGTGAGAGGTACGGGGATCGATACCCCGCTGCTCCAAGATATATTTTATTTTTTATTTTCCTGTTATTTATTTTAAATATAGATCGCTTAAAAAGATCTAAAGATAGCACAGGGCATTTATTTTTTCTAACGCCGTTTTAGTAAAATTCATGTTTTGACAGTTCAATTAATCTTTATCACAAACAAAGTTCAAATTCTAATGCGACAGTTAACTGTTCAATTATAAAATTTTCACGTCGCTCAAATTCCTCCTAAAGACCTACTTTTGGTTTAGCCATACAATCATGTAGGCAGCGGCGTCACCAGGTAGGGTGTTAACCGGTGCGGAGAATCTCGCCCCACTCCCTCCAACAATTTTGCATTTTTCGTTTGGTGTCACCTTTTCCCCTATTATTTTATTTTTTTTATTTGATAAAACATATTTTAAGAAATAATTTTACGTAACTTTACGATTTTTCTAAATGGTGTCACCCCCCTCCCACCAAGTGGTGTCACCCAATGCGGGCTCTATCCCCAGATCCTAACTGTAATAACGTCCCTTGAATCTGAGGGGAGTAAAAAGGTTGAGAATAGGGTGTGGGGGTGGGGAGTGGAGGGTTGGATTCGGACTTGTGTGTATGTTTGTGGTACTGGGTAGTGATAGGGTAGGGAAAAGATGTGGGTGGGGAAGGGGGGAGGGGTAAATTAAAAAATGTCTCGTAGCTAATAGTTTTAAATTGCTTTGAAAATATGTTTTATAGAGTATCTTAAATTATGCTTTTCTTTTTTGCCACAACTAGTCTATATAGGCCTGCTTAACTACACATTAAATAATTAAATAAAAAAATATGTGTGTTTTTGTTTTTCAACTGCTGGAGTTTAATTTC